TTTTTGCATGTTTGTCACACTGTAATGTTTCAGATCGTCAAACAAATTTATATATTAGTCAAAGATAACACAAGTAAACACATCATGCAGGTTTTAAATGAAGGTTTTTATTATTAAGGGAAAACAAAATCCAAAACTATAGAGCCCTGTGTGAACAAGTGTTTGCCCCCTAAACCTAATAACTGGTTGGGCCACCCTTAGCAGCAACAACTGCAATCAAGCGTTTTCGATAACTTGCCATGAGTCTTCCACAGCGCTGTGGAGGAATTTTGGCCCACTCATCTTGGCAGAATGGTTGTAAGTCAGCCTATCGCACCTGAGTTCAATTTCTCTAGCCACACCCAGGCCTGATTACTGCCACACCTGTTCGCAATCAAGAAATCACTTAAATAGGACCTGCCTGACAAAGTGAAGTAGACCAAAAGATCCTCAAAAGCTAGACATCATGCCGAGATCCAAAGAAATTCAAAACCAAATGAGAAAGAGAATAATTGAGCTCTATCAGTTTGGAAAAGGTTATAAAGCCATTTCTAAAGCTTTGGGACTGCAGCGAACCACAGTGAGAGCCATTATCCACAAATGGCGAAAACATGGAACAGTGGAGAACCTTCCCAGGAGTGGCCGGCCGACCAAAATTACCCCAAGAGCGCAGCGACAACTCATCCAAGAGGTCACAAAAGACCCCACAACAACATCCAAAGAACTGCAGGCCTCACTTGCCTCAGTTAAGGTGAGTGTTCATGACTCCACCATAAGAAAGAGACTGGGCAAAAATGGTTTGCATGGCAGAGTTCCAAGACGAAAACCACTGCTGAGCAAAAAGAACATAAAGGCTCGTCTCAGTTTTGCCAGAAAACATCTTGATGATCCCCAAGACTTTTGAGATAATACTCTGTGGACAGATGAGACAAAAGTTGAACTTTTTGGAAGGTGTGTGTCCCATTATGTGTGGCGTAAAAGTAACACCGCATTTCAGAAAAAGAACATCATACCAACAGTAAAATATGGTGGTGGTAGTGTGATGGTCTGGGGCTGTTTTGCTGCTTCAGGCCCTGGAAGACTTGCTGTGATAAATGGAACCCTGAATTCTGCTGTGTACCAAAATATCCTGAAGGAGAATGTCCGGCCATCTGTTTGTGGCCTCAAGCTGAAGCGAACTTGGGTTCTGCAGCAGGACAATGATCCAAAGCACACCAGCAAGTCCACTTCTGAATGGCTGAAGAAAAACAAAATGAAGACTTTGGAGTGGCCTAGTCAAAGTCCTGACCTGAATCCAATTGAGATGCTGTGGCATGACCTTAAAAAGGCGGTTCATGCCCGAAAACCCTCCAATGTGGCTGACTTACAACCATTCTGCCAAGATGAGTGGGCCAAAATTCCTCCACAGCGCTGTAAAAGACTCATGGCAAGTTATCGAAAATGCTTGATTGCAGTTGTTGCTGCTAAGGGTGGCCCAACCAGTTCTTAGGTTTAGGGGGCAAACACTTGTTCACACTGGGCTATATAGTTTTGGATTTTGTTTTCCCTTAATAATAAAAACCTTCATTTAAAAACTGCATGATGTGTTTACTTGTGTTATCTTTGACTAATATATAAATTTGTTTGACGATCTGAAACATTACAGTGTGACAAACATGCAAAAAGATAAGAAATCAGTAAGGGGGCAAACACTTTTTCACACCACTGTACTAGCCAACATTGATTGAAGATACTGTATATCAGGTTGGGCTGGGAAATCAAAATGTTCTTTTTCAACCACATACCTTTTGAAAGACTTGGATAGACTGATTTGTAAAAATGCACTTGCATGGAGTTTAAAACCTTATGTTCAAAGGTCTTCTGGATCTTGGAAAAAGATAATTTATGGATAGAGCTGAGATATGTGAGTCACTGAGGTCAGACTGAAAATAATTTTGATGGACCAAAGCTTAAAGCAGCCTAACGTACTGCCAAGACTAAAATTCATAAACATACAGTAGACACAGACACACTGTAACACTGACTTATGATGCCTTATGTTCCTCTTGGCTACTTACTTTACTCTTTAATTCTCTGAGGCATCTTCTGAGCTCATCTAAGCAACCTTTAATGAAACATCCCTCCTTGGCTTGATGGATTTGGGATTTTTATTGCAAGAAACTTTTTTTATAAGAAAAAAACACAATTTATTCTTGTGATAAGATACTTGAGTGTCTTTTTTTTTAAATATCCACTACAAGGTATTCTCAGATCAGATAACGTCCTCTGTTTTATATTTTTTTCACCCTTCTGGCTGATGTTTGACCTCTGATCCTCTCTCTCTTCTTTGTGGCTTATTATTTTCACATACTGACAGGCAAACCCACAAGAGACAGTGTTTGTCCTGTTTCTTATCATATTTGAATTATTCACCATAGAGTGCATTATCATTTACAAAAGCCCTGCACCCTACACAGATGGCTCTGAAAAACAGGATATGAAGAGACAGGTATTGCTTCAGAGAGGTGCTGCTGATGGTGAACCACAGCTGTGGCTTCCAGTTTATCTCCCAGAAATGAGTTTGCTCAGTGGGAAATGAATGACAGATACACATGTATTTTCAAACAGCATACAAATTACCTCTCTGAGTTCAAAGTGTATTAGTTCATTTGTTCCTTTTTTGTAGGCTATTAGAGGGTAAATAGAAATGTGGTATAATGGTTTTAAGATCATCTTTGATGGGAAAAGAACACCTTTCTTAGAACGTTGTTAAATCTCTAATTGAAATCTCTTAAAAATGGATATGTTTTTATAAAAGTAATGGTGAAATTATCTGACAGTTGATAAGAAAATTCCACAGTTTTACTGCAAGGTCTGCTTTTAAACATATTTATAAGCCTGTGGCATCAGAGGCACGTTGCCACCTTATAAAAACCTTGTAAAAATTCATTTGTAATATAAACAAAAACTGGGTTAGGACTTTTCCTCTCGGGTGATGATCCTTCTTCTGCTTTGTTCAGTTATAAAAAACAATACAGTTTAAAATGAAAATGCAGTGAAAGTATAATGTTGCACTACCAGAAGTTTTTTCTTGTTTTAACAGGTTTAACTATTTATCATTTCACATTGAGATAGAAAGTGTAGGTCGTATGTCTGGATGTATCTGGCCTAATGTTTAATTTGCCCTTAATTTTATTGTGCCATGTAGACAAGACAAGGTAGCATGGCTGCCACTTCAGACATCAGATCTAGTCTACTCTTTATGTGTCTAAGATATCCACAGGGTAGACGGGGAGGGTTTTCTCTTCATCCCTTCCCCCCGATCTCTGCCACCAAGCCCCCCCAGGGTACAGTGTGACCCTTACAGGCACCCAACCGGAAGGCCCACGCCGGTTTCTCTCCCTCCACGCTCCCCTTTACCACAGTATACATGACCTCATTAGGCAAACCCTGCCTTCTTAATTGGCTTTACAGTGTAGTGTGATATCAGGCTAACCCCTAATAAGAATGAAACCCAACACCCCAACTTCCAAAACATGACCTACTTATTAATATATACAAGCAAATGTGCCTCAACATAGCCAAACACACCTCGCAGATGTGTCTCTTTTCCCCAACTCTCCCCCTTTTTCATTTCTGCAGGTTATTGCTTTAAGGCAGATGGCAGCTTTGTTGCTGTCATTTCTTAACATGACTTGATCTGTCACGTTACTGTAGATGCAGTATTTGATACAGGTCAGCTTTACTCTGGAAATGGTAAAACATTAACTTAAATGGATTTGAACCAAATCTTCACTTGAAATCATTCAAGCCACACTGAGAAATCTACTGAGACAATATTGCCACTTTCAGCTCTGACAATGGACATAATATGTCATTATTTATTGTAGCCACTAGCCACTATAGCTGTTTGTTATGGAGTACGTGCCACTTCTCATATTTTCTCATCTGGAGGACCTCACCCACAGCCAAATGCTTCTAGTTCAACCATATTCTTCAAACTTTGTTGATAGCTTCACGTTTGTAGCTTTTTAAAACATGTAATCAATAAACAGGAAGTCACATGATCAACATAGGTAAGACAGAACAACATTCAGTAAGACTGAAACAGTAAGAAAACCACAATATGTATGGAAACAGGAATAAAAAATCATTCAGAAATATGTTTATAAAGGTAAGGAAAGAAAGGAAAAGAAAATATTAAAATACCAAAAAAGACCTATAATAATTAAATCCATATTAGACATGTTTAGAGATTATCCTTAGAGCTACAAGTGTATCAGTAGCCTCGAGACTGATGGATGTTTGGGTCATAGTAACTAAAGGCTGCTCCTGTTTCAGACCAAATTGTTGGAATGGCTAAAATGAAGTCTCTTATCCATGTCTATTGAAGATATTGTTTTAGATATACAGAGGTAACCACTGCAGAAGCACCCCACCCTCTTTATGTCAGAACTATTGTTCATGAGGAAAATGCAAAAAGCCAAGCAGATGTGTTTTAAGCCGACAAACTTCATAGTCCCTTCCTGCATGCACTCGTGGGAGCATGCATCAGTGCTTCGGTGCTATTTCTGTATGTGTGGGTTGATATGATGTCAAGAGCACTCCCAATTTCAGTTTGCCAAGTGGTTGCAGTGTGAAAGTTTGGTCTGTAGAGCAGGCAGCATTCAAAATGAGGCCTGTATGAATATTTAATCAAAAGATAAACTAGTAGACATGGAGCCAAGTGAGCCAACCACTGATGGACCTCATACTTTTAGCTGCTAGTTTAAACTCTCTGATAAATAATTTTCACACATTCAGTTGCAACATGTGGTTTTCAGGTGTTACAGCTGATTTAATATAGAGTGTATAGATGCATATTTTTAATCAAATACAGATTTCTTTTCTTTTCTTTTCTTTTCAAATTAGTTGAGTTCCACAATATTTCCACATGCCACTGGTGACTGCAGAAGTACTCCCTGAGATTTTTTTGGTTGAGAATTACAGCTTTAATATGTGAACACTACCTAACACGTTGTCTTTGTTTTTGTTTCTTTCAGTTGGGATGAGAGCAGTTCCATCAGCAGTGGCCTCAGTGACGGCTCAGACAACCTGAGCTCTGAAGAGTTCAACACGAGTCCCACTCTCAACTCCCTTCCCACCACACCCATTGGCTCCCGCAGAAACTCATCCATAGTGGTAAGTAATATAACTAAATACACACACAGTTATTTGACACAGATGGATTAGCATCATGTGTGTTGCTAACAGTAGTACTGATTTAACTTTTAATCCAATGAGGCTTGGGTGAGGTGCTCAATGATGTGTCATGCACTCAGTGACACAGTGCTGCTAAAATCCAGTCATCAGCTCTGCTTCAGGTTCTGTCTGTAGCTGTGTGGGTTTCAGAGTGTGTGTGTGTGTATGTGTGATTTTCCAGTGTGTCTGATTTAGGTCACCTCCACAGTGTGGTATATGTGACTGATGTGGGATTTTTAGAGGGAGAGAGACGGGAGTTAGTCAGAGACGAGAAACCAGTGTAACTATAGCAACCCAAGTGAAGGGATGCTGAGAGTGCAGGTCTTTGTCTACTTACTTATACTGAAGGACAGGTCTAGAACATGGCCATCTGCACACACACCCACACACAGTGCCATCTGCACACTGCATCCAGGCCAGTAAGCCGGAAGAACCAGGACGCCTCCCCTCCACGCCTAGTCGCAGTCATAGCAACCATTACCCCCCATGGCATCATTACCATGGCAACCAACCATCACATTATCATGAACCCAACATTGTCGAATACAATGTGTTCTCCCACAATTCTCAGCTGATGTCTTTTGCTATTGGTTTCTCATTGTCTTTGTGTCCTGAAGCTGTTTCTTTGTTTCAGATTTCTCCTCTGTATTCCTTGTTTCCCATTTTGCTCCTGTTGATTTAAATTTCCTCAAAAGAGAACTCAGACTTCACATCCATTACTCATCTCTCTCACATATTGTATAACATACTCAACAAGGATTTGAGGATGAAGGTGAGAAGAGTAATGAATACAGGGGAGAGAGAATCAAAGCCAAAAAGTAGTGTATGTACTGCACTGTAGGTGGGGCCGGATTTTTTCATTTCCACATGGAGGTGGACCAAGTTGTCGAACCCTCTGTTTCAATAATCAGGGAATGTGTGTGAGGAAATGACAATGTTTGATCAACAAGGTCTGGTCAGAGAAGACACACATGACCAGGCACACACGCACATTTACACACACCCTCACATTTGTGTGATGTGAACCTGCCCATGGGGTCTGTTGATTTTAATGAAAAAAAGAATTCAGCTTATGAGTCCTCATGAGAACTGCTGGGTTCTTTCCCCCCCCCACACACCTCTTGATACATTGTGTAACTGTAGACTCCTACAAATCCTCACACACATTTACACAAACATTATGTATTGTTTGGATTCGCCACATACATATATGGAAGGTTTTAACTCAGTAATGAATGTGTGGTCTATTTTCTTCATGCAGGTCAAGTGTGACTGTGAGTCTCTGCATCTGATCTAATATTTGTGTGGCTTGTGTATTTGTTGGGCAGTTTTGAAATGTTCAAACAGAGCATACAATAAGATTTAGACTGGGGAGAAAACACATCAGTTTTTAGGTTGACTGGGTCAGATACATTTTTCTCCTGAGAAAGCATCAAGACAAAGGTCTGTCTGCATCCACACATCTCATCAAAAGTTTTCAAGCTTTGACTTGTGATGAACAATAACTGCAGGTATTTGGATTGGGTTTGGAGAATTAAATGTGGCACGCTCACTTCTTAAACATTTTCTGGACACAGTGTCTCTAAGCATGCATCTGTCTTTTTCTCTCTAGATGCGTACGGATGCTGAGAAAAGATCTCTGGTGGAGAGCGGCCTGTCTTGGGACAGTCATGATACCAAACCCAGCCGCAAAAGCCAGGGCAGCAGCGTCTATGATTCTGGAAGTCTCAAGTCCGAATCAGCCAATAAATGGAAAAAGATGCAACCGCAGGGGAATGGGCTGGACGGAGGGAGGGGGGAACTGAAGAAACCTCAGACCCTAGGTCAAGGAAATGTGTTGAAGAAAGGAAGAAACCCACCAGTGGGAGTCACATCCCCAATCACGCACACCTCTCAGGGTGGGCTGAAAGTGGCAGGTTAGTGGAGAAAAGCTGGTCAAAATGTCAATGTAACACCAAAATGTCTGCTGGAGGATCCTGCAGCTATAGAAAGAAATGTAGAGTACACATTCACAGTGAGAAGTCCTATAATGTATATTTAGCTACACTTGAAACTGTTTCATAACCTGAGCAGACTTCATATATTTCTCTGGCTGTCTTTTAATATTTCCTTCTTTCTTGCAGTCTCATACCCACACACAGTCACAGACACACACTCTGTCTTTGTCCCACAAATTCACCCACAGCTGCAGGCCACCCTCTAGGCCTTCAGAAAGTGGTGCCATGTATCAAACGCCCATCACCGCCCACTCCCTTCCTGCCAGCCAACCACACATACACACTGACCAGCAGTGTCTTTTTCTTCCCATTGGGCCAGCCTTTCCTATCTAAGCTTTATTTTTGTGCAGGCCACAGAGGATTTATAGCACTAAAATAAAAGCCTTGTACCCAAAACAACTGGGCCAGAGACAGTGTGTGTGTGTGTTTGTAACAGAGTGTGAGTGTGCAGTCACATCTGACATTGTGCCAGCCTTAAAAAGTGCCACCCATTACACTTAACGTGTTCACACACACTCACTTAGACACTAGGAGGACAATAGTGGGGATTGTACAGCTGCCTTTTAAGCACACCATCTGTGTGCTGTTTATGTAAGCATGCATACACACACTTGCACACATATAGATCACCAAAACAATAGCATATTAGCTGTGCTGTTGTGTGCCACTCTGGATAGGCAGTGTCTGTGTAAACAGTCCTTATTTTGTGGAACTATCCTGTGTTTGCATTGCCAGCTGTTGAAATGACAGATATGCCAAACAAGTGTGTTGAACTAGCCTGTGATCTGTGTGCCAGTTTGTTATTGTTACTGATGTCAGCGGTATGAATCTGCTACCAGGGCTACTCAATCTGCTGCTGAGTTTGAGAGTGTTAACTAATTAGATGATGAAGTCAAGTGAAGACAGTCTGGAAAAGCTTGTTGTAGCTAATAACTGCGGGGGGGGGAGCTCACGAATGTAACTAAACAAGAGGCAGACATTTTTAGATTGTTTAAGAGCTTTTTATTGCTCATCAGTTTGTTGCTGAGGGTTGGCATGGCATGTGTGTATGTGAGAGTATGTGTGTACCTGTGTCCCATGTTTTAATGTGTATGTGTCTTTATATGGGGCGACACAGTGGTCTGTGCTGTCGCCTCGCAGCAAGAAGGTTTGCATGTTCTCCCTATGCCTGTATTGTTCTTGTTCTGTGGATAAAGTGTTGGATGTTGCTCTGATTGTAAAGTCCCTGACACAATTTTTTTGAACTTGGGCTAAACTTAACAAGAACATAATTAAATGATTTAATTGTTTAAAACAAGGATTAATACTTTATTTTATGTTTTCTGAATGTTGGTGGAGCCTTGCAACCACTGTCCAGTGTTTGTGTTAATTTTTTCCAGCATTGTGGGAAAATAGTTTCCATCAGTACAGTCAAACTTCAAACTGATTTAAAAAGGATAGTGATTTATTTAGCTGACTTTTGTCATTTTTGCATGAGCTAGTTAGAATTATAGTTGGAATTGCGAGACAGCGCAGGTGTTCATCTTTCTGTCAGGGCTGCTGATGGTCATGCCTCTTTGTTTCCTCTTCATCACATGGGCCAACACCTGCAAATACATTCAGCTGCCTGTCTGCTACATATGTGTACAAACCTTTCATGTGTATCAAAATAAACACCGATGCTGTATCCTAACAAACGCACACATGTTGATGGTGTGATGGTTGATGTTACGACAGGTTGAGTTTATGACTTCACATATAAACCCAGTTTTCACAAATACAAAGAACCCCAAGCATAATGTGTTGTCTGTGTCACATTCCTATGAGATCTGATTAAACACCTGCAAATACATTCAGCTGCCTGAGATCTGAGATCTGATTGCTGAGAACAGTGAGTGTGTATGTGTGTGCATGTGTGGTATATCATATATGTCTGTCACTATTTGTGCGTGTTTTTTGCGGGTTTATAAATATCCCTAAGTGACTCCAGATGTCCCCAGGCAGCACGATGGTGGGTCTCATTCAACAGCAATTCTTTGACTCTGTTAATGGCTTTTATATAAATCTCCCATAACAACTCCCATTAGATACAAATTAAGAGTGTGTGTATACAGTGCACACATGTCTAATAGACTGGTTTTTCTTAAAAACAAAACTTGCCAACTGCGAAATGTAGGGCAACCAAATTGCCCCTGTTCCACCAAGTTCTTTCTCACTCTGCCCTCCTTTCCCAAAGTCTTTATGAACAGAGATGTTCACTTATACTGGGAGCTTCATGCAGCTTTTTGCCCTCAGACGTGCTTCATGACTGTGAACACCAGTTTTCCATAGCTATGCTGCACATTTTAATCACAGCACTCCACAGCTGTGACACACAGACATACTTGAAAGCCAAAGACAACTTTTTTAGTTCATCAGGATGGAAAACAGAAGTAAGTGCATGATAACAGTGTGTGTGAGGGTGAAGCTGGCTGTGACTCTGGTATACACACTGAGTGTCCGCTCAGATGGGGATTTGTTTTTATCAGCAGGCAGACCTTGTAGGTGTTCAGATAAGATATCATGTATTGCTTTGTTAGTCTCATTCACCATGAGAGACTGTCTGTTCAGGCTTCTCATCAGGGATTTTTCTCCTTTCCTCCCCAATCTCTCAAGGTGCAGTAAAGTCAGATGGGAAGCCCATGGACAAATCCCGGTTAGCAGTGAAGAATTCGAGTCTTCAGTGTTCTTCTTCTGATGCTGGTAAAGACCACCGTAATGGCACCAGTGGTGGTGAACAACGTAAACCCCCATCTGGCCTGGTCCGTCCCTCTACTGGTGGAAACTTTGGCTTCAAGAAGCCTGTCACAGCTACCAGTAATGGAACAAACAATGCCACTACACTCACTGTGATGAGTACAGGTGGCAGTGCCATACCCAGCGGTTCTG